TCAGAGCCTGATGGGATGAGTTTACGAGAACCTATCAGTGAAAGAGACTTAGGAGAAATCCAAAGCTTTTTTGTAACCATTTGGTTTAAATCACTAACAGATGTCGCTGCTGTTTCCCCAACTCTTCGTGTATCTTCCTAAGCAACATCTGGGTCAGCCTCGTTTTCCGAACAATCTAAGTGTGACCTCAGCTGTTTGTGAAATCTCTTTTTGACTTCCCCGTCAGTGAGTTCGACTCTAACGGGTCTTAATGTGGTTTCCCTGCGTCCAGAAAGGCACAAGCAAATGCATGCTCGTATTAGAGCATGATCAGTGTCTAAACATGTGCTCTAAAACGAGTGACAGTCTTCTATTGAGCCTCTCCAACGATTAATGACGGCATTATAGTCTATTTGAGTTCATCGTTGGTTTGTTGCAGGCGGTCGCCATGTTAGACGGTGTCTCTCCTCATGCTTAAAGGTTGTGCATGATAAAAATAAACGATGGTCTGAGCATAGTTGCAGCAGACGGTCACCATTATCTGTTTGCTGAGCCGGAATACCGAAATACCCACCTAAATGTCTTTCTTTTTGGTTTAAGCTACCTACCTGGGCATTAAAGTCACCTGCTACGAGTAATATGTCTGAGTGTTTAGCTTTATTGTATATTGTTTTATTAGTAGCGTAGTCAAGCATATTTTTCATAAGCAGCAAAAGAGCTTGAAGTGCTTGTATGTTAATGAGAAAAACCTGATTAAATGAATAAATTAAAGTTCTTATTCAAGAGGAAGGACTACTCAGGTAAAGTCCTGACATCTGGATCGATTCATTGTGAATAATACATGATGTCCATAAAAACGTCATACTTCTAGCAAAAAAGAAATCTGAAAAATCCCCATATTGTAAATTTAGAACAACATACATAAGCGAACAATATTGTTTTCAATTAGATCCTCACCAGGCTTTACTCTAATATACAGTAATATTTATATGCATGTACAAAATTATTAAACCAATCAAGGTAGCTTATGAGTCAATGAAAAAGATTACATAATAAGTGAAAAGTACAAGCTAGTACGCCAACTAAGTAGGACGAAAATGTTTAAATCTATCATGTTGCGTATGACTCAAAAATGTAAAATTGCCAACATATTATTGAGGATGAAGTCCCCAGTTACAAAAATTTTGTGTGGTAAACTGGCCTAGTGATTTACAGGAAGACTGAAAATGATTCATGATAAATTAGCCCCCAAATGCCCTGGTAAGGCCGAGAGTGGGGAGAGTCCGCTCTCCCTCTCGAAATGCTCTCACATGGCCACGCGTATATAGCTTCTGCCAGGGAAGTCCTACTCACTGCCTTCTCGTGGCGGGGGTGTTGTTTACAAAAATGAGAGGACGAAAAGCGAATGTCCGGCGCTGTAACCGGATCCCAAACCAATGGTACACATGGGCTCCAGTATCCTGAAGGAACAAATGGCGTATGAACCAATTTTTGGTCACCGGCTTCCATGGGACTGCATCTCCTTACGATGCTCCACTGCCTTGTGGGTTAGACCTTCAGGTCGAAGGCTCGGGGTGTGGCTCCCTAAGAAAACCACCTGCTTCGGTTTGGGCACCCGGGCAGTATCACAGCCCTCACACATATCAAATGAGATCTGTGTGGCGCATATGTATCTGGTGCCTCCTTGTACCAATATCTATGTGTTAAAATGAATAAATAAATAATAGTGATGGGTAGGTTAACGGGCGCAGTTAACTTCATTGGGTTTAAACAAGTAGTGCACTCCAAACAAACTTTTGCAATTAATTACTTATTGATTATGATCTGGTTCTTATACCATCGGAAAATATGAGGTGGCTTTTGATCACACGCACGAAATAAGTACAAATTCATTTTAACAATAAACTTTATCTGCAAGTTAGTGGCTTAGATATGGAGTTTTATTAAACCTAATTTATCAGTATTTTCATAGTACACTCAACAGAAAACTAAGTGAAAAAGTAAATAGCGATAATATTTATACAAGTTGCATCGACTATATATATATATATATATATATATATATATATATATATATATATATATATAGGTATGAGTTTATGACACACAATATATGCCTTTTACATTAATAATTATTGCTTGATACTTCAAAAAATGATTTTAAATAATTATTGACATAGTAATGCTTCGAATTAGTTCCGTTTGGGACTACATATTTTCCACTAACCACACTGAAAAATTCATGGGATAGTTACACTTTTTGTGTTCTCCCAAATTCTAATCATCTGAATTCTTCATATCCCTTTTTTCTCTTTCCAAATTTATTTCACTAGATTATACTCCTTGTTATATTTCTCTCTTACGGTTATACACAGCTATTCCTATCGCTTAGTATTGTCGGACACAGATTCACTCGACAAGTCCCCAAATCAGAACACGGTTAAACAGGAAGAGATTATATTCCAAATAACAAAGTTAGATGGAAGTAAGAAACACAATAGGAAAACCTTAAGTATATTTATAGTTTTTACATGAGAATATTTCTAGAGTATTCTCCAAATATCGACCAGCGCTGATTGGACAAGAATTAGCCAATCAGCGTGCGCCAAAGCAATTGTGCATTGAGCATGCTTTAATCCAATCTATGTCCCGCTAACACTCCTTGAATAACATCTTCGAACCCTAATCTTTCTGATTACTGCTTATACTCTTACTACCCCTACCACTATGGGATTTGAATCGACAACTGCATTTCTGAGCTAATGTGGTACGGCTACTTGAACTGATTTACGTACGTACGAAGTTCTACATTGTTGCTGACTGACTGACTACACGGTTTTACAGACCAATCGCCATGAACAATCTCGAAAAACAATATAATTTTCTAAAACATAGTAAATGCATGCGTTAAATGAAGCACAAACTTTATTATTAGGAATTTTTGATTTTTTTCAGAATTATCGGACAACAGTTATATATTCATTTAAGAAGTTGTAAAAATAAATTATTATTATTCATGACGAATGACACCTATCGTTCGATATTAAATCTATTTTTTAAATCCCTGACACTCATTATGGTTTAACTCCGCCTGTAGCTCTTCTACGGTTACTGCCATTCCTAAGCCCGGGTAAAGGGGGAGGGTTGGACATGGAGTCAGAAACCCTATCTCGTAGAAAACAACCTGGCTGAAAAAAACGCTAACAAGAATAAACAAATTAGACCACTTAAACTCTGTCCTCTGAATTGAATGGTCTTCACTAAGATGAATTATGACGCCTCACAATGGAAGCCAATATCCTTCGAAACTCACGAGGTCGATGTCCCTTCTAACAACCAGTGCAACATTTAATACAGGTACATGGAATGTCCGGACAATGCGGAAGACCGAGATGATCGGTCGAATAGCAACGGAAGAGGAGATACAACTTGGTGGTACTCGGAATCAGTGATACCTATCGGACCCAAGCTGGACAAAAAAAGGCTAAATTTGAGAGAAAGCTGTTGTACTCTGGTCATGAGGAACAAAGTGCTTCACACACAAAAGAAGTTGCACTGATGCTGTCCAAAGAAAAACGTTAAGCACTTATAGGATGGGAATCTCATGGATCTAGAATCACCAAAGCATCCTTCAAAACAAGGAAGGAGGGAATTGCAATGAATGTTATCTAGTGTTATGCACCCACCAATGACGACGATAAAGATCAGTCATATGAGAGGCTACAACCGATCATAGCGAAGTGCCCAGGAAAGAACCTAACCATCTTGATGGGAGATCTAAACGTCAAAATGGGAATAGACAACGATAGTTGTGAAAATATCATGGGACGACATGAACTAACTGAGAGAAAGGAACGAAAATGGTGACAGATTTGTACATTTACGTGCATTCGAAAAAGCGGTTATAGGTGGTACAATATTCCCCCACAAACGCATACACAAAGCTACATGGGTCTCATCGGATTATACCGCGAAGAACCATATAGATCATATTTGCATCACCAAAAAATTCAGAGCATCAGGTGATAAGGCAAAAAATCAGAGGACTAAGGAGGTGCTCCTCTACAACTAAGTCTGTTTTCTAGTTTATAAACTAGAAGTCAAAAACATATGTCTCGAGTTAGACCTGAAAATCGTAGTCCTCATCTATGGATTACCATCGCTCTCTTCGATCGGCTGTGCCTGACGCATGTCTCATAAACTACCACTGTTTTCATTACTATATAACCAGTAGCTACTTACTATCTCTAATTATCATTTCCGTTACCTTTTCATCCAACTGACTCCGTCTTCCTGAACATTGTCAATTGAGTGAAGTAATTATTTATTCCTGAAACAATCATCTCTTAGCACTTGAATTGTCAGTAATGTTTTCACATTGCAACCAACTAACCTCCTACCAGGTGATGTGATAGCTGCTGGTATCCGAAAGCCCTACTACCCTGAAACAATAGTACTCACTCAAATACAAGACATACAAATCAACGAACAACCACCATGGTTACTAGAATTGCTGGAGTCGAGTGTCTAGACTACTACATATCGGGCGTAACTAAAAACCTGGAACTCGAAAAGAGTGTAAACTGCTAACCACTGAAGCTACTTCAGCCGTATTTCCTACGACCGGAACTAATAATTTCCGATAAAACACTAACGAACTAATGTGACAGATATTAACATCTAGATTAACGAATTTTGTTTAGATTTCATACTATAAACATGTTTCCATTGCAACGGAAAATTTGGGACATTAATGACCCAATAGTATCATACACTTAAATTCATTTACATATCAAAGTTTTTTTATGTTTGAATGCAAGTAACAATTACAGTTGTAATGTTTTAGTACTCCACAAAATAGAGTTTTGGGAGTACTAAAGTTTGATGATATCCTCACTAAAATATAAATGTGCAGCATTTGAAGAATTTGTACTGATATACATAACTGAACACCTATATTTCGATCAGATAAACATGAATTAAATAGACAGTACCTACTAAGTAATATAGTGAGTACTTACGGAAAATCTATATGTAACGCACTACTTGAATAGTGTGCATATGTTCTACTGAAATGGATACTGAAGTTATTACAAATGAAGTTTACAGTTATTCTTCAGTCTTCAGCAATAAGGTTAGAAGGTTGGTGAGCCTCTGTTAATCCTTAAGGATTTTCTTCCAGTGAAGATCCAGATTTTCTTTGAAAATATTCACTGATGAGTCTGATACCTCTTGTTCTGATTAGGCGTTCCAGTTATTCGATCTTCTTGCTATGACCCCGGAGATTGTTAGTGCTGGAGAGAGCAAAAATATAAGGCATTTTAACACCCAAATCATAATTAAAGATGCGAAATGCCAGTATAAGGTCACCTCGAGTCCTACGATACGGCAAGGGTAAAAGCTTTGTGCGTTTTAAACGCTCATCATAAGGAAGTTCAGAAAAACCCTTCACTAATTCTGTTCACACACGCTGGACACGCTCAAGTGAGTTAGCATCCTTTATCAGACATGGGCCAGTTGATTTAATAAAGTACTTCAAGTGTGATCTTACATAGATGGGATATAAAATTCGAAACATTTCCTCGTCGAAGCATTTGAATGCTAGGTGATGTGGCTACAACGCACAAAAACCTTTGACAGCAGCTGCGTTTCAATGTGTAGTTGTTTTCAAGTCATGAATTATCACTACTTTAAGGTCTTTATGTTCTTGAACGCGTGGAAGAGGTTTACCATCAATAGTATAATGGTATCTATTACCGTGACCGATGTGCATCTGCACTCTTCCTAGGATTAATTGTTGAGTCCCAACCTCGAGCCCATCTAACTAAATAGTCTAAGTCAGCTTGGAGATCGAAATGATCAGCCTCACTCTTCATTTTTCTCTAGATTTTTACGTCATCAGCAAACAATAATGTCGCGAGCTATGCAACAGCGGTAACTCGTTAAAATAGAGAAGTGCAGAGGGCCTTAGATTGTGCCTTAAGGTACACCACTTTTGACTGGCTTCCAAATTGACAGCGTTCCATTGGCCCTTAATCTCTGTCTGCGGTCACATGAGAAGTTACCTATCCACTCCTCTACAGTAACAATTATTCCGAATCTCGAGAGCTTCTGCATAGGACCTAAGTGTGAAACATTATCAAATGCTTTGCTAAAATCTATGCATATCACATCGAAGACAGACATTTATCTAAGGCTGATGTCCATTCCTCTATCATAGTAAGTAAATTAGTCAAGCATGAACGCTCACTACGAAACCCATGTTGCTCAGGATCTAACAGATTGTGCGAATCTATGTGATTCAGCAACTTAACCCGAATTATCTTTTCAAGTAACTGAACGACTATGCTTGTTAGACTGACAGGTAGTTAAATACGATCTGTCTCTGACCATCCTTAAATATAAGATTGATTGCAGCGTCTTTCCAATCTCTAGGGAGTTGGGCGAATGAAAAGGACATGTTGAAGAGTGTCGCGAGCGGTTTTGAAATAATGTCCACAAGAAATGACAGCAGCCATGGATGTAACCCGCCGAGGCCCGGTGTCTTACAAGGTTTGAGGTTATGTATCAATGGAAGAACAGTTTCCTCAGTCACCTTTACAGATTCAATGGCTGGTATCTCGGTGTCACTGGAACAAGTATTTATTAAAATAAACGTAGAGTAGACTTCGCTAAAATAGTTTGAAAAAGCCTCAGATCTTCCCGATCTGATTTAGCTAGCAAATCTGAATTATCGTGTAACAATAATGGGGGAATACTATCACTACGTTTTATTTGCCGTTTAACATACGAAAACAATCGTTTTGGACAAGTACGGCTATCATATCCCAACTGTCGTTCGTAAGTAGCACGGGATTTAGCTATAGTTTTCTTACAAATATCCCGGAATTTTCGGTACTCAAACTCAAACGATACGTGACCTGCCAACAAGAATAAGTCCCAGAAGTGTTTCCTACGCTTCAACAGCTTTCGGGTTTCCTTATTAATCCATGGAGGGTAATGTGATAGTTTACGTGATGACCATGAGATGAACGATGATGTTACGGACTCGAAAGTAGTCCATTCGTTTTTGATCGACCGATCAATCCATTCGCGTGGGCCGACCAACCAGTCGAGACAGCACAGTCTCTGATTGCCGGAATATTAGCCCGCCAGATATTGGGACGGGGTGGAGCAGATACAAATGGTATACCATGTGTCCTAAACTTAAAGTGAAGTACAACGTGATCACTGTTCACTAGGGGGGAAGGTGCTGAATATCAAAGACATCCTCACAGTGGTGGATGAGGGAGAGGTCCAGCAGTGACGGATCATGTTTCAAATCAATATGTGTCGGTCTTCTGATATATTGGACAAGTGCACACTGAATAACGGTTGATTAAAATTCGCTACCGAAACCTCCACTTGGAGATGTAAGTTCTATCCAGTTGTTGTGCGGTGCGTTGAAGCCCTCAATGATGAGAAAACATTCTGTCATACTCCAAGAACAGATGTGTCCTTAGATAAAGTCATCAGCAAGACAACACAAACTACGATATATTCCTCCTATAGTCAATAACCCATTTCCAGATTTGATTTTACAATATGCTGCCTCACATTTACTACTAACATGCGCCTTCGATATGATAGATTATATGCGAAAGTGATCCCTAACGTATAATATTATGCCTCCTCCCTTGCGACTTAAAACTCTATCACTTCTAGTACAGATATAGCTTGTAATTATGGGAGAACATTCTATATTGACGGTGAACTAAGTTTCTGTAACAATAATTATATCGGGACTTTATTCATCCACCATCAGACTTAGCTCAGACGTTTTGTTTCTGAGAGTATGGGCGTTCGTGAAACACACACTTAAGGTGTTTTGGAAATCATTTGTTCTATCCATACAGGCCTCGGAAGCATTGGCTTCCGAGACCTGACTACCTGAAAACTCTAAATCGCATGGTTAGTTTTGCCATTTAACTTTCGAGTTCTTAACTCCGTAATGGTATTCTTCCACTTGATTCCATCCTCAAGCGATCAATCTGGTAGGATACAAATATTTGAATCACGAGTTTTTTGTGCGTTACTCAATATTATATCTCTTTCTTCGAAATTCCAGAGAACCAACTTCAAGATTCTATTTGGTTGGGTCTCGCCTCCAGCTCATTTACCAAGTCGTATTACTTTCGCGATATGTACCCCTGAAACCCCTTCAGGTAGTACATTTCTTATCACAGATTCCAATAACTACAGATCGTGTGCATGTCTTTTAGCAGGGTCATTGTCTTTTGACCCTTCTTTATTCCAAATAATTAAACTAGTAAGGGGTTTAACTTCTTTTGAAATCGTGTCCACGGCTTTTGAGCGTGATTTTAGACTCTGCATATTAACTACTGGCATCTTACAACTAGTTTTCATTGTAACAGAGCCATGGGAGTCGAGAGAGTGATTCACAACAATGTTTGACGAGGCTTTACTTTTGGACTTTGGTGGAGTGGTCTGTGAGTCCACCAAGGACTTATTAAGTAAACAGTCATCATTTTTGGCTAACTTTTCTACTCTTCTGCGTTTCCGAGTCATCCTTTTCTCGTCAGTCGTAGCATCTACATTAGAACTACACGGACGGTAATTGTTGCTGTAGCAACTTGGCCACCAATATCCAATGACGTGTCGATCATTAATTGTTTCGAGGTAGGAGGTTCAATTGCGGGTTGCACAGTTGGATGTCTGGCTTGTGCCGTGACAGCACTTACGACACTGACGCAATCTTCACCATCAATACCCATGTTACCAGTACAGCCCTCATCAACCTTCTTATTAGCGAACGCCAGGAGGCTAATTGCTTCCTGGATGAGCAATGTTTCGCTCGAGCAATAAAGCATACAAAGCCAACGAGAGTTGGGCTTTGAGAATATTTTATATACAGTGGAGCTTAACCGGGTGCACATCTTATGGAACCGCTTATTACACTCATCACATTACATCCCTTCCTCCACAGGGAATAAGCAATATGGTTGTCCACATTTATGAGCACAGCTGGCCACCTCGAAAATCAATCACAATAGTGACACAAACAGGATATATACAAGGGTTCTCAAACTTTAACTAAATAAATTAAGTCAAAGTCGATCAAGTATGCTTTGATGCATTTAATACACAAAAGCGAAATCAAAACACTCAGTTACAGTATCATTTCGACTGGAATAGATTCAAATAAAGTGTAAACAGGAGTTTTGATGCCTAATTTACGATCGAAATAATTAATTAACTCAACCAGAAATAATACCACTGTTCTTTTTGAATAGCGTGCATGCAATAGAAACATTAGTGTGAATAAGTTTTCTCAACATATTGTAGTGGGTATTTTATTCAGATCGTTGGAACTAGTTAAGTAGTGAATGCTGAATGACATGTAATATTCGGGGGTAGAGTAAAATTTAATACAGACATATATAATTCAGATTCAAATGGTCAAAATGGTTGTGGACGGAATAGAAGAAGCTTTCGTTTAACAGGCTTCCGTGTCTAGTAGTAGGGGGTCACAAATACCTCCAGGCAGGAACTTAGCTATATTAACGATAAAAGAGAAAAAACAATGAATTGGTAAATTATAGTAAGATACTATCCATAGTCCTTAAGAATAGATCAAGTTGCCTCTCAAAGGACTCCTGGAAAGGCGTTTGGACTAGCTCAGCCGGCAGCGAATTCCAGCATTTGACAACTCTTAAGGAGTAGAAGTTGTGTCTACAGTCCGTCCTGCTATGTTTTGTCTCCAATTTCTGGGTGTTACCCCTTAGGTTAGTATTGGAACTAAGCTTAAGTAGGTGTTTAAGAGGATGTCCAGCTGTGTTAAGGATACCGTAAGCCATCAGAAGGTCACCTCTAAGACGTCTGTACTCTAATGGGTAGAGGTTAAGTGATTGGAGGCGCTCTTCATAAGGTTTAAATATGAGTCCCCGAACTGATTTCGTGGGTCACCGTTGGATACGCTCGAGCTTGTCCTTATCCTTTTGGAGTGAGGGAGGAAATATTATGTTTCCGTACTCTAAATGGGGACGAATAAAACTGTTGAAGATTATGTGGTAG